TCATTCCTTCCCCAAAGTGTGAAAGGCTCTACTCTGAAGTCAGCTAACGATAAATGCCAGTACCCTAATCTGGAGGTCCTGTGGAAAGACACCAGGAAAAACAAGATCTTAGAACCACCTGAGACAACTGAACAAGCTTTCCTTTTAGAAAAGGCACCTAAGAATTTGAACAGCACAGAATCCATCCTCCTAAATGGGCAACTGTGTATTCTAAATTTGCCACAAAGTACCAAGGGCACTATGCTTTCATTAATTTTAGTGGTAGTCAAGGGTTTAAACAGTTTAACAACTGTTTCATGTGAATGTGTGTAGTGATGGGTACCACTTATTGTGAATGCGTGGCAATAACTATATTCAAAATATAGCTTCCTCAGCCGCACAGCACAGGGAGATCAGCTCGGTGCTTTGTGACCGCCTGGAGGGGTGGAATAGGGAGGGTGGGAGGGAGGGAGATGCAAGAGGGAAGAGATATGGGAACATATGTATATGTATAACTGATTCACTTTGTTATAAAGCAGAAACCAACACACCATTGTAAAGCAATTATACTCCAATAAAGATGTAAAAAAAAAAAAAAGACAAAAAAATATATATATAGCTTCCTGAAATACATTTTTGGTACATACTTAAATTATTAGCATATATTACAACATATGAAGGATTCTTTTTTTAAAAAAAAAACTACATCAAGTAAATTGATGATGATGTTTTTTACAAATCGTGAAAACACAAAGATTCACTGTGAAAAGGAATAGTCCATCTACATTTCAACATGGTTTAAGCATTAGAAGGTGAATACCAAGAATAGCTGTAGATACCAAGATGAGAAAAGCATGAGAGCAGATGTATAGAACAAGAGAGTAAATCTGGGGACTTCCCTGGTGGTCCAGTAGCTAAGACCCCATGCTCCCAATGCAGGGGGCCCCGGTTCAATCCCTGGTCAGGAAACCAGATCCCACGTTCTGCAACTAAGAGTTCGCATGCCGCAACTAAAGATCCCGCATGCCGCAACTAAAAGATCCCGCGTGGGACTTCCCTGGTGGCCCAGTGGTTAAGACTTTGCCTTCCAATGCAGGGGGTGCGGGTTCAATCTCTGGTCAGGGAGCTAAGATCCCAAGTGCCTAGCAGCCAAAACAAAACATTAAAAAAAAAAGAAGCAATATTGTAACAAATTCAATAAAGACTTTAAAAATGGTCCACATTAAAAAAAAAAAGATCCCACACACCACAATGAAGATCCCACATGCCACAACTAAGACCAGGCGCAGCCAAATAACCAAATAAATAAATTTAAAAAAAAAAAATTTTTTTTTTCTAAAGAGTAAACCTGAAAGGAACAAAACGAATCAGTTTAGTACAACACACATGGTAATATTTCAAATGAAAAGCAGATATACAAGCAGATATATATATAGGCTCCAGAAAACACTCTTGACTAAAATTTTCCCCCAACCCAGCTTCCCTTAAACTTCTCCTTTTCTATCAATGATGGCAACAGCATCAGACTTGAAATCCTGGAAGCATAAACAAGCCCTCACACTGCCCTAATATTCTCAGTCTCTAAGTCTGTTCGTTCTTCCTATGAAATGCCTCTCCTGTGAAATGCCTCTAAAACTGCCCTTCCATTCTCTCTGGCACTACCTTAGACCTGCCAAATACTATCTCCTCACTCCTAAATTATTCATGAATTCATTCATTCATACCTGCACTCATTCAGACACTTCCTGAAGCACCTACTGAAGTACCGTGCTAGTTCTGAATACAAACCACCATTCTAACTAGAGGTGGAGATACAGATCACAACGAATGCACTATTTTAATAACAGCAACGCTTGATTAGGGCCCCACTACATGATAGCTGCTATTCCAACACACTATTATCCATTTAAATCCTCATGACAACCCTAAGAGATGGGTATAGTTATCTTCTGCAAAGCAAGGAGACTAAGGCTCAAAGAAGTGAGATAATTTTCCTAAGATCACACTGCTAATAAGCTGCAAAGTAAGATCCCATGAGAACTGATTCTTTCTACCACTTGAGTGAATCTACTGCATCAACTCCTAAACAGTCTTTCCAATCCCGTCTACCCATTTCGACCAGATTCATCATCTGAAAGCACCATTCTGTACTTGTAACCCCTTTGTTCAAAAAAAAATCTCAATGGCACCTTTAGCCTGGCCTTCAGTCTTTGAGTCAAAAAAAAAAAAAAAAAAAAAAAAACCTTTCCTTTCCCTTACTAGCTCTGAATCTTGGAAACTGCTTAATGTCTCTAATCTTCAGTTTTCCTACCTATGAAATGGAGATAAGACAGAGTTGTGTAAGGATTAAATAAGAGAAAATACGTGAAGGTTTAAGCATATGAGTGTTCAATAAATAAGTTGTTATTACTCATACAGCTATACACAAAACTTCTGTTTCAGCCAATCAATACATGTACTATTCTTTTACGAAACCACTTAGATTTCTGCCTCAATTCACACTATTCTCCCTCCGCTCCATTAAGAATAGGTATCCTATAAATATCTAATACATGAATCAATACATGAATCAATGTCTGTACCTCCTTATCTTCAAGGCCCAAGTCAAATGCTACTTCTTCCAAGGAGCCCTCCCTAGCCGCCCTCAATGAACTTCACACCTAACTTAAGTGCCACTGAGAGAATGAGGAAGAAAAAAATGCCGAATTATTCAAGACCTATTATGAACTAGGAAACATGATACATCTTCAGTGCATTATTTCACTTAATTCTCACAGAGAAAGACAAAGTAACTTGCACAAAGTCAAAGAGCTAGTAACTGATGAAGCTGAGATTCAAAATCAGAAGTGGCTGATCCCTTTTAAAAGCCCACTTCTTCCCACACCACCTTGTATCTTGGTACCCTGGATTACACATTTAATCAACAACTACCTAACACTGACAATGAGCAAAGTGTTGGTACATGCTCTAAGAGCCCCAGCAACCCATACAAATACAACAAACAAAACTGTCATGAAATAATGCTTATCCATACCACCTGCAGTGGACTCTAATTTTTTTCTATTCTCTTCTATTTCGCTTAAAATAAAATACTGGTCAGTTCCCACTAATTTTACTTCACAACCACTCTTGAATAGCGACCCAGCTATCTTGAATACAGATATTACAAGGCCAAATAAGATCGAGAATCTGTCCTCAAGAAGTATTTAATCTAGCTGGAGACATAATGGTAAAACACAAACTTTTCTTGACCCCCCTTGACCCCAGCCCACCTACTGGAATAGAAGGTGGGCTTCCATTGCTCATGTTCCTGTTGTCCCCCGAAATACCCTATCAGGAAACATAACCAATAAAGTATCTAGGCTGTAAATATGAAAAACATCAGGCCCTCAACAAACAATTGTTGAATGAATGGATGAATGAATATGTGAGGTACAATAAAAGTGCTATGGATTTTCAGAGGGAGAAATTACACACCATAAACTCTCTCCCCACAAACCTCATAATCCTCTAAGGGAAGGAACAATCTCTGTATTATTGAATACATCAAGAGCGCACTCATGTTTGTAGATATTCTATTTAAAAAAAAAAAATTGAGCTACGAACTGGCCACAATTCATGTGGAAAAGCAGATAAACATGGATCTTGGCCAAAGAAAATCAAGGAAGACATTTACAGCTCCAATGATAAGTTTATTATCAGCCTTTACTCTAGAGCCTAACTATTCAAACTGTGGCTCTTGGTCCAGAAGTATTAATATTACCTGGGAGTTTGTTAGAAATGCAGAATCTCAGGCCCCACCCAGATCGACTGAATCAGAACCCCCATTTTAACATTCTCCCCCAGTGGATTCCTAACACACATTAAAGTTTGAAAAGCGTAAGTATATATGACACAAATGAACTGGCTTCCGCTAGCTCAGAGAAAGTTACCATCTTCTCCTCTGTTATCTCTGTAATAAATAATCAGACTTTTCAAGAAGTACTACAGATATGGTCATGACACACCTTCAGGAATATGAGGGTATAAATCTAAATCATTACTCAATGAGAAGTAAGAATTGACCATCCACTGAACATTGGATGGAACTTTTAGAAAACATACCAAAAATAAATATACCTTTGCCTTCTTAGGACACAGGCTCTATTGGGCAAGAAAATAAGAGAATGAACTTCAATAGCCAAAGCAATAAATCTTTAATACCAAGGATGAGATTATTGAAAAAAAAAGAGATGCTGGAGAGAACATTTAAGAACAAACTTCTTTAACAATTCTCCATGATACAAACACGTATTTCCAAATATTCTCTATTTAAAACTCCAAACTTAGATTGCCCTACAGGTAAAGCTGTGTAATGAAGGACCTACCTGACATTAAGTCAGATCTCCTAAACATTTTTCACTGACTCAAAGACTGGAACCACCCTTTAAAACACCAAGCAAAGTCTCAACCAGGAGACCACTTTGTGAACTTGCAAAAACACTTGCAAAACCCTCAAGCTACGATCCTCTCATCCCAAACTGAGACAAGATCTGAGGCCACAGGGACTTGATGCCCAATATGCCCTCAAAAAAAAAAAAAAAAAAAATTGGGGAGGAGGCCGCCCAAACAGGGGGAATTAGATGAGGAATGATTGCAGGCCATTTCTCATCGCCTCGCTGACCTACAACACCTCTCCACAGGGCAGGAGGGAGGGAAAATAACGCAGGCCTCTGAACTCACAATTTTAAGGGCCCCAAACTTAATCCTGAAGTTGGGAACCCATCTTCTCCCCAACAGGCATTCAGATGACAGCTCAACTTCTAATTCCCCTCCCCCTTCTCCCGCCCCCCGTAGGATCTGGGATATCCGCCCCTCGCGATCTCCCCCCATCCCACCCACCGCCGCCAAAAATACCCTGACCCCTCCCAATGAGAAATCGACATGGGGCGAGTGCCCCGGGCCCCTCCGGAGCACGACTGCACGCCCTGGCCCATTCTCCACACTAAACTCGCCCTGGGGGAGGAGCTGATGGGTCTCACCAAGTACAGGGGAGCATAGATCTTCAGGGACTCCTCCAGGGCGCCCCTGGTGATCTGCACGAAGGAGACCCCGCAGGAAGGGTGCCAAGTGTGGCCGATCTCGTAGCAGTTATGAGGGATGGACTTGCTGAGGGCCGCCATGACGAGGTGCCGCGCGCACGGGCCGGGAGGGGGTGAGCCGAAGCTCGGCAGGGAGGAAGAGGGGCGGGCAGCGAGCGCCCAACCGCCGCGGGCTCTCAGGGCGTGCCGGGGGTAGGCGCGGAATAGAGGGGAAAGCTCAAGCGAGCGGGGTTACTCTGGGCCAAAGTCCTCCGAGGTTGAGCGCTCAGAGCACGGCAGCTCGAGGGGGCGGGGCGCGCATCAGGGAGGCGGGGAGAGGCGGAGCGTGCGCGCTCCCTCAAGCGGCCTCGGCCCGGGGCGCGCGCCCGCCTCTCGGAGCCTGGCTCAGCGCGGGGGCCAGAAGGTGAGAGAGCGCAGCTCGGGGACGCGCCCGCCACCCCCTCCTTTAGCTCCGCGCCGGCGCGAGCGCGCCGAGAAAGATGTACAAAGATAGGCGACTTGCGTAATATTGGACTCCAGTCTCTGTCCTCTAAAAGCCCAACCAAGTAGAACTGAGAGCAGTGGAAGAAAGGGATTAAATGTTTTTGTTGGGAGCTGGTGGAGGAAGACGATTGCCAGAGGAGAGCCTGGACAACCATCCTCCTCAGAACTGCCAGCTCTGCTACCCTAGAGTGCCAGGTAATAAATAGCTAAGGCTGCCTGCTGGTTGGGACGAAACTGCTCCCAATTACTGGGCTTTCTAAGCTCTGCAGTGCCTGAGAATGCTTGAAAAATCTGTTAGCTGTGTTCTTGCACTTCCTGTATGGGGAAAGGACAGTAGTAGGTCGTCCTCTCCAAACCCTGGGCCACTGAGCAGTCCTGTCTACAGCATACATCACAGGTGCTCGTCAGCCAAATATGTAACCCAGCAAGGACTCACATGCCCCAGGCTCAGAAAGCCAGACTCTGACAGGAGGTGTTTGCAGCAAAGTAAAGGTTTATTGCAGGGGGCCAAGCAAGGGGGTGGGAGACAAGCCTCAGATACACTCCCACTTGGCCTTTGAGTTAGGGGTTTCGTAAAAAGGAAAAACAAAGAGGCTAGGATTAATCAACATCTCGTGACATTTCTTTTTTTTCTTTTTTTTTTTTTTTTGCGATACGCGGGCCTCTCACTGTTGTGGCCTCTCCTGTTGCGGAGCACAGGCTCCAGACGCGCAGGCTCAGCGGCCATGGCTCACGGGCGCAGCCGCTCCGCGGCATGTGGGATCTTCCCGGACCGGGGCACAAACCCGCGTCCCCTGCATCTGCAGGCGGACTCTCAACCACTGAGCCACCAGGGAAGCCCTCGTGACATTTCTTAATCGTAGTTTCAGGAGTCAGGATGTCTCGAATTCTCAGGCCAGGTGGTCCATGGCTTCGGGGTCTGTAAGCTCATCTTGCCCTGGAGAAACAACCTGAGTTTGTACACTAATAATGATATCTATAATAGCAGTTTTAGAACATTAATGATGTTATCACAACAGCAGTTTTAGTCATCTGACTAATTGATTAGTGTTCAGTTACCACAGGATTGAGGTCAGGGGAGAAAAGAAAGGAAATTAAATTTTAGATAGAGAGATTAATCATAAACTCAGTGGGGGAACTCAGTTTTAGGGGGACTTGGCTTCAAATAGTACACATAGTAGAGGCAGCAGTGGTCTTAGAACTCATACCTGGCTAGAGAGATTGGCCAACAATTGGCATGACAAGGAACCTGTGCGGCCTATGAGTCTTATAACCCCACTAAATATCAGTTTCCTCACCTATAAATATCTTTCTAGTTTCCTTGGAATTACAAATTCTCAAGTTTCTTAAAGCAGGAACTTGCCATTAGACTGTTTAATATTACTTTTATGTACAACCTTTAGAGGAATCCCATTCATTCATTCTACAAATATTTACTGAGCACATACTATTTTCAGGCACTGTTCTAAGCTCTGTAGATTCATATGTGAACAAGAGAGACAAGGTTTCCACCCACCTCTCCTCTCCTTCTCCTCCTCCTAGTGCCACAGAGCTGGAGCCAGAGCTGCCAATGCAGCCCCAGGCACTATGGCTTCTGGAGTTACAGTGAATGATGAAGTCATCAAAGTTTTTAATGATAGGAAAATAAGGAAATCTTCTACACAAAAGAAGATTAAAAGGAAAGAAAGAAAGGAAGGAGGGAAGAAAGAAGGTCTCTTCTGTTTAAATGATGAGAAAGGACAAATAATTGTAGAGAAAGCAAAGCAGATCTTGGCAAATGACACTGGTGATACCACAGAGAATCCCTACACGTCTTTTGTGAAGTTGCTACCTCTGAATGATTGCCAGTTTGCTCTGTATGATGCCACATACAAAACAAGAGTCTAAGAAAGAAGACCTAGTATTGATATTTATATTCTGGGCTTCTAAGTGCACCTTTAAAAAGCAAGATGATTTATGCTAGCTCCAAAGATGCCGTTAAAAAGAAATTTACATATATTAAACACAAGTGGCGTGTAAATGGCATGGATGAGATTAAGGAGCATTCATCACTTGAAGAGAAATTGGGAGACGATGTAGTAGTCTCACTTGATGGAAAACCCGTGCTTATAAAATGACAGTCAAATGCCATCTGGGTGTTAAGGCGCTTCCACTTCTGCAGCTCAGTCAATTGGAATAGTGTTGGATTTTGTTTTGGTTTTTCCCCTTCCCTAATGGGCCCTTTCTAAACAATGAATGAAGGAAATATCATTCATTTAAGCAGCCTATCAGTGATTGCCATTAGACTGTTTAATACTATTTTATGTACAACCCAAGGAATGCTTTCCCATCATATTTTAGACAAAACAACTAGTTATATGAAAACTTAGTTATAAGTTATAAGAAAACTAAACAAGAGAATATGAGATAGGTGTAATAATAATATAACAGGATAAACTAAATAAGATAATAAAAGAGGAGTACTCAGATTGAAAGCCCAGAATAACAGTGGTAAAAAGATAAAAGTTTAACTGTCTGGGGACTTCCCTGGTGGCACAGTGGTTGAGAATCTGCCTGTCAATTCAGGGGACACGGGTTCAACCCCTGGTCTGGGAAGATACCACATGCCGCAGAGCAACTAAGCCTGTGTGCCACAACTACTGAGCCTGAGCTCTAGAGCCCATGAGCCACAACTACTGAGACCACGTGCCACAACTACTGAAGCCCACGCACCTAGAGCCCGTGCTCTGCAACAAGAGAAGCCACTGCAATGAGAAGCCCGTGCATCGCAATGAAGAGCAGCCCCTGCTCGCCAAAACTAAGGAAAAGCCCACGCGCAACAACAAAGACCCAACACAGCCATAAATAAATAAATAATAAATAAATAAATGTATTAAAAAAAATAGTTTGTCTCTCTCTGATAAATATAGACAGTCTTAAGAGGAAAGAGATATGGGAACATATGTATATGTATAACTGATTCACTTTGTTATAAAGCAGAAACTAACACACCATTGTAAAGCAATTATACCCCAATAAAGATGTTAAAAAAATAAATAAAAAATAAAAAAAATATAGACAGTCTTAGTCTAAGATGGTGGCTTCATACCCATCAAGGATCCCTGACTTCTGACAGGTTGCTCTGCAGACTATTACCTGTGATTTCCATCCTAACTTATAAGTTGGCTGCTTCACCTTGAACCATGACATCCATGTGCTAGCCAGGAAGACCAGCCAAAGAGGAAGAGAGGACATAACTTCCTCTCTTTAAGAAAACCTCCCAGGAAACCTATGCAAGCCACTTTTCCTTACAACTCACTGCCCAAATCTTAGTCACATGGCCACACTTAGGTGCAAGAGAGGCTGGGAAATGTAATCTTTTTTTATTGGTTGAACAAATGCCCAGATAATATTTCAGGTTTTATTACCAAGCGAAATGAAAAGAACACATACTGGGGGCACCCAGAAGTGTCTGCCGTAGTCCTATGCCTCTGGCTGCCCAAACATCTGGACACATCCTTTTTCCCCAGATAAACATACCCTCTCCTTCTCAAGGGGAAGAACCTAAATTTCCATCCATTTACTCCATCTTGTTCAACATCCAGGATCTTCTGTAGGATCAAATACAGCTCTCATGTTCAAGTTATCTCCCTCTTTAACATACCCAATATACAATGGTAGAATAGGAACAAGATAATCACAATTTAAAAAAAAAATCTCCAATTCAAAATATGAGAGGATCAGAAACACAGCATAAACTTGTCCACAGAAATTACAGGAATAGTAATGCGTGCATAATGATAAGCATAATGTTTACCATGTGGCACAGCAAATACATACCAAGAAATAAAGAAAATTTTAAATTAAAATTAAAAGCATGCCATTTCTTTTAATTAACTGTTAAATGGAGACTTGAAGCTTGAAGATATTTGAGAAGAACACAGTTATGGTTGTCACAGGTGCCAAAAATGACAGTGCTAAAGAGTTGGATGGTGAAGGGGCAATTTCAGGCAAACTCTCGGATTCAAACAAATGGAAAGGGTACTCTCTATCTTGACTGGTGCTGCTATAGAGACTCCAGAACAGGGAGGCATTAATAAATTCTCAGGGATGATGATGTGTGCTTTAGGATTAAAACAAAAAAAATGCAAAAGGAGCAGTTTGCAATAAATCAGTAGTTTACATTTGTAAATTCCTTTATATGGTATTATAAGATATATAAGGCTGTTATTCAGAAGAAAGTTTTCTCATAATGTTGCCAATAATTTTAAGGGTAAAGTTATACATTGTACCTACATGGGCCATTTATTCCTTTTTTTAAAAAAATAAATTTATTTATTTTTGTTTATTTTTGGCTGTGTTGGATCTTTGTTGCTGCACGCGTGCTTTCTCTAGTTGCAGCGAGCGGGGGCTACTCTTCACTGCAGTGCACAGGCTTCTCATTGTGGTGGCTTCTCTTGTTGCGGAGCATGGGCTCTAGGTATGCGGGCTTCAGTAGCTGCGGCATGAGGGCTCAGTAGTTGTGGCTCACGGGCTCTAGAGCACAGGCTTAGTAGTTGTGGCGCACAGACTTATTTGCTCCGTGGCATGTGGGATCTTCCCAGACCAGGGCTCGAACCCATGTCCCCTGCACTGGCAGGCAGATTCCCAACCACTGCGCCACCAGGGAAGCCGTGGGCCATTTATTCTTTTAGGTTGTATATGACCAGTAGCTTGACTGGATACTCTCTTGGGCCTTCATTGTTGCTTCTTTTCCATTAAAAAAAAAAAAAAAAAAAAAAGGC